CTGTTTCAGTCTCTTTTCCTGTGTGTGTGTGTGTGTGTGTGTGTGTGTGTGCCGCGCCTGCGCGATTGTGTGTATATGTGTGTGTTTTACTTTCTGATAACAAAAAGCTTACTCTGGTGCCAGGTAATATTTTATAACAAGAAGATCCCTGATATGTAAATGAAACTGCATTTATGTATTATTTGTACTAATGAATTTGTGGAAATGTAATGAGAAAAAAGAAATGTGCTTGTTTATTCCTTTCAGGAAATTCCTCTATTCCCCCTGGTTTTCATCAACTATATTTTTGGCAGGCTGTGGGCATGGAAATGTGAAGACATCACTCTCAAAGAGAATTATAATAATCACATCTGATTTATATAGATGTCACCATAGGGTTAGGCAGTTGAAAATTCTTGCAATCAAAATGAATAGGCACTTAAAATTAAGGACATGCCATACTTTTGCTAACACAGGTTTTTAACATTACCAGTAGTTCACAGATTTTTTTTCAGACTTCTAAAGTATTCATAATGGCAAGACAGATTTATATCTTAGAAGATGAGAACCAAAGCAAGCTACAAACACTGGTATACTTCCTACAAGTTCATTATGAAGGTTTGATTAATCTGAATGTTTTTTCCACCAATATTATTTTTATTTGATGATGAATTACTTCAATAACATCTTACAATTTTACAACTTAACTACTGAGAGATTTAAAAAAAAATAATGCAGTCTGTGGCACATTAACATTTCTTAGGATTTTTTGAGCATACATTCTGTGTAGTAGACACTAAGGGGGATACTGGGGACATAAAAGATATTGTGTCTAGACTCAAAAATTTATGGTATAGTTGGGGTGTGATGGAGTGGATTTGTGGGGTTTCAACTGAGCACTAAATAGTAGGTAGATATCCTAAACAGGCCAAGAGATGAGCACAAAAAAAACTTAAGGGCCAGCATAGCAGATAATTAGGAGGCTAGCCTGGGTGGATGAAGTAGCATATTTGAGAGTGGCAGGTGGAAAAGATAGATGGGAAGCATGGGAACCAAGCTGAGCAGGACTTAAGAATATCGAGTTGAGGTCTGTCACCAATGGAGAGCTACCAAAATTTGACTTCTTTTTGTAAAACCAACAATTACCAATACAGTAATATTCACCTTTTCGAAGGGTAGGAATTCATGTGATAATGAAAATTCTAAACTACGAAACAAATTTATGGAAATGCAGCATATATCATGAACTAAAGTAGATACTAAAACTAGTAAGTGAAAAGAGGGGTAATAAAGAAAATAATTATTCTGGTTGGACTTATTACAGTAATAACTGTGAGGAACACATTTATTCTTTGAGATTGAAGATCAGCTGTACTATTGGTAGCTTTCTGATGGACATGTAAATAGAGTGGACAATAATAACAATAATAAAATAAGAATCACCGGTCCACTAAACTATTTTGAGTACATATTAAGACTGCATAGCTTCTGGTTATTCTGACCTTTCACCTATATTGTAATGGTTTGTTTATTTACTCAACAAAAAATATTAGAGATTACAAATCTTAATCAATTATAAATGCCTACAATGAAGCTCCAGAACTGAAAAATACAAATAAGCACCGTATCAGTTACTGACCAGAAAGTCAACCCTTAGAAAGATATATACTACCATTCTTCTCTTTCTCCTATGGGCCAAGGGTATATGATCAAGGTCATGTCCCCCAAAGCTGGCTTTCTCTTTTTTCCTTGGGGAAATATCAAGCATATTAAGAGGATAATCCTAAATGCTTTTCTAAATTAAAATTAACTCAAAAAAGTGAGCATATGTGACATTCAAGTCAGACTTCCTCTCTGCATAATGTGGAGAACTAATATCCTTTTACACCTGGCATCAAACCAAAGTGACCTCCCCTAACACACCCTACACACACACACACACACACACACACACACACACACACACAGCACCTCCTTTCCCTCCCCAAAGTCCAAGATGTTCCAGACAACATAACAAACCACAGGGGTTGGGAATGATTCATATGTTTCCACTCTCCAACCAAAAATGAGCAAAAAAGTTTCCACTTAATTTATAATCAAAATTTTCTGCACATTTCCTAAAAAATTAAAGGGGAACTATTCAAAATCTGGCCTTTCTTTCTCCAAAAATTACTGATTAGTTACAGACTAAAGTATCTTTCTGTAAAATACTTTTGTGCTCCATCCACCCCTAGGGATGAGGGCTATAGCTGCATGATGCCAAATATCTAATCAATCATCCAATGTTTTCATGTTTTCGGATGTTTTCAAAGAGCTGGTGCTCTGTAGATACAGGCTTATTCTATCCAGCCTTTTGTTATCTCGAATGTACATATGGATACAGATTTTCTGTTTGGAATATTTCTCAAGGCCAATGCCTTATTATAGTTCCAACACCTGCAAATATTTGGCAAAGATTGTTCCATCCTCTTCACATCCCCCACTCTTCCTGCAACCCCTCCTCCCTCTCTTGCCATTATGAAGCTGTAAGTTTATACACTATGTCCTTTTCCTTGATGTTGTTAATCGTTTATCTGTGACCCATGAAATGTGCAGTTGCTGGAGCATAAAGTTAGGTTTCAAATCACATTTCATGGGGGAAAACTTAAGTCCAAAAGAAAGTGGCAGCAGGCTATAGTAGAAAGGGTACTTTACTCCGGCTGAGTACTTTACTCTAAGCTGAGTTCCAATTCCAGCCCGCCTACTAACCAGTTCTGTGACTTTAATCAAATCATTCAACCTGTTGAAGTACAGGGCTTCAAAAGCACAGGAGAAGGGGGTCAAAAGTTACAAACTCACAGTTACGAAATAAATAAACCATGGGGATGTAATGTACAGCATGGTGACAAGAGGTAATAATACTGTATTACAGAAAACTGCTTTTAAAAAAATCATAAAAGTTCTCATCAAATGAAAAAAAAAATTGCCATTCTATATGGGGACACAACTATACCTATTGTGATCACTTCACAATATATACAAATAGCGAATCATTATATTGTACACCTGAACGTAATATGATGTTGTATGATTTACTTCAATTTAAAATTTTAAATCAATTTAAATAGATGAGAATTACCTGAAACAGAGGGGGAGGAAAAAAATAAAGCGTGTAGGGCTTCAACCAGACCACGGCCAAGGCTTAACATACATGATTTTAAGAACTGAAGACAATCAGATTATTTCTCTCTGCAGTCTTGATATGAATGAGAATATCACCTCAAGAGAAATCAACAGATAACCACTGAATTTTGTATAATTTTTAAATATTACATCTAAATAATAAGCAAAAGTTTTATTTATATGTAAATTAAAATATTTATTTGCATACAAATAATAAGCAAATAATAAGCAAAAGAGGCACAAATCAATGTCAGTGTGACTCCTCTTACTATTTCTAACAACAAATCACATGAATTTTCCAAAGCATGACAAGAGGAAATTTCCACTCCCTTCTTGTCCTCCTTCCATCCTTTAAAACATCCTTCCAGCTTGGCTTGTATATCCAGGCCCTATTTGAGGGTAATAATCTTATTCTTCAGTAAACATTTTATTTTTCTGGAATTCCTGTTAAGGAGCAGCTTTTTAAGATAAGTTAAACCACATAGCAGGCAGGCACTGAGAAAAAAAATCGGTGGATCTGACATTTATTAAAATCAATATAAGGTAGTAGGGCTTTAAAAAACAGGCTTTTGGGTGGATCACGAAGATGTGGTATATATACATAATGGAATACTACTCAGAGATCAAAAAAGATAAACTCATGCCATTTGCAACAATATAGATGGAGCTGGAAGGGATCATGTTAAGTGAAATAAGCTAAAAGGAGAAAGATAAATACCGAATGGTGTCACTTACATGTGGAATATGGAGAAACCAAACAAAGGGTCAGACAAAGACAAACTTTAAAACCAACCCTTGAAAGCTGACCATAGATTTGCAGCATCTAGCGGGTTGGGGGGGTACATGGGGGGCGGTGAGAGAGAATAATGGATTAGGGTGGAGGACTGTGGGTGCTTTGCTAGTGGAAGTGCTATGGTCACTACACCTGAGGGGAGAAATTCTACACTGTCAAAACACTATCAAGGATGTAAAACGATGGTACTTAAAAAAAAAAGTTGTAAAAAAAATCAGCACTTGGACTACATGGCACAACAACTTTGGAAAACTCTGGTCACTGAACGCTAATAAAGGACTAGGAACATCCAAAGCAGAGACGGCAAACAAGTGCTTCGGTCTGTGACCCACAAAATCCAACACTGGCACAAAATCTGACACTGGATTAAATATGAATTACTTACAGTTAAAATTTTAAGTTCAGGTATTTGACTATCCCTCCTGACATCATGGCACAACTGAAATTCCTTTTTTGTCTGTTAGTTTAGTTTTGTTTCTTAAGCAGGCTTAGAAATAGCCTCATGTTAAGGGCTTGATGGCAATTTGTACTGGCCAATAGCAAACCTTTGTTTCTTCAGTGTCCTGAGAGTGCAAACACATACCCTACTGTCCTCCACAAAAATCTTTCACCTACATAAATACACTGAGATATCTCCACCCACACCTACACAGAGACACACCCAACCTTGCCATTGCTATATGCATACATATGCAAATCAGCAGATATGCTAATTGCAATACACCTACACAGCTACTCACATACTTAAAAGAGGTGGAAAGATCATGGCAAAGATATGTAGTGTGAAATATGTCACTAACTGAGGAGGCAGGGTACTGTATCCCTGGACAGACTACTGGGGTGGGCTAACTCACCCAGAATTGGCCAAGGATGAGCGAATGCAAGCAGGTTTATGCAATAGATAGGAGGGTCCAGTGACAGTTTGCAGGTTATTCCTCACGTGAACAATTTGGAATTAATTCACTTGTCATGCAGGAAAAGTGACTGTTTTGTTAGGAACTTGTTAGCTATATTACTGTATATTAAGAGACAGAGTCGTGTAAGGGATAGTTCCCAGATCCCTTACCTTGAGTTTCTCAAATCGATCATTCAGGGATGCAACCTGATGGTCTCGGTGACGCCCCACCAGTTTGCATAAGGCACAGATCAATTGGTCATCAGATACACAATACATGTTCACTTTCTCATTCTCATGGTCCAGGCAGGTGATCCCTCGAAGATGTGTGTCTGGCACTGGTTCTACCAGGCGGTGGCTGGTGAAAGGTTTCTTGTTGGGGTGTGTGGCCCGCAGGCAACGGTCACAGTAGGAGACCTCACAGGTGATGCAGGTTTTCACTGCATCCCTTGGCGGGTCCTGCTCACAGAACTGGCAAGCAATTCGCTCACTAGACATGGTGGTGCTGGGCCTGTAAGTCCTCTCCCGGCGGCTCTCACTTGGGGAATTGGGCCCACTGACTGAAGCCTTCTGGAAGCGGTCAATAATGTTCTGCAGGGTCACATTCCTCTTGAGGCCATCCAGGCCCCGGTGGTTCAGCGAGATAACATACCTGCACGTGGGACACTGGAAAGCGGTAATGGGTTCAATGGATTCACCAGAGCTGCAGCTGGAGACCAAGATGCGGTGGGCGCAGCTGAAGCAGAGGCTATGAGCACAAGGGAGCAGAAGGGGGTCTTCAAACAACTCGAGGCAGATTGGACAGGTCAATTCAGACTCCAGTGTTTCCATCTTTAGTGAAAATAATCCTGCTGAGGCATTAAGAACCACAGAGGTTGGGCTTTCACCTACAAGGAATACAAAGCAAGAGGCATTAAACATTTTCAAAGGAGAAGTGGATGTAGCATAATTATACACTAACCAATGGAGGTTTTATATGCTGGACTCCCCAGGGGGACTGGAGCACTAGGAAAGTGATTTGGGAATTCATCAGAAAGCCTTTCTTCCCCTTCATACTTTGTTTCTGACGAACGTCTGCGTTTACAGTCCTGCACTAGTAAATAGAACCTAGTGGCCACTTCTGAATCCCGGTTACAGACTGTTAGTTACTATTCCAGCTCACAACTCTGGCATGGATCATTCTCTCACATATTCTCCACTGACATCTCTTGTCCTGGACTATGATACACCTGCGGTGCTGCAAAATTCTCAATCTCCTTTCTCCAATTTTACTTCAGGGTAAAATAGAGGGGCTTGCTCCTATTTCACATGCAATGGAAGGAACACAAGGAAATATTTCAAACTAACTCTCTAGTTCATGAAATTATTGCATTCTGAGAGCATGCATAAAAAAGAAGAGTTTTAGAAAAATGTGGTTCTTGGTACAGGATAATAACTTTTCAGAGTGTGGACCTGAATTACCTCCTAGTACCACACACGGAAATTTCTATTTCATTCCATTTCCAGTAAACTGAGTTACTAGAGACAGAAGATGAGAGTTTTCACTTTCACTTTCTTCCCTCGCCTTCAGAAAAGATTGAGAAATGATTCCAACTTCTCAACTTACTCAGCAATGGGTGCCGGTCAATAAGGAAGATATTTGAGCACAGCGCTTCAGTTTGGTCTTAATCTTAAATAACCGGTAAAGTAGTGCAAGCTAAAAAGTTCACCTCCCATATGTCTCTTCACACTTCTTAAAATAGAACAAGATGCAAATCAAGAGCTAGATATAAATTAGCAAGGTGAGGAGCCTTCATTACACTGGAAACCTACATTTTAGTGTGCACCACAATAAAAGAAATTACCCAAATGACAAGGAACTACCCTCTTGTTCTAACTCTCTCTTTTCTTATGGACATTTCTGATTTGAACATATGTTTATTGCTACAGATCTTCCACTAATTAAAACCAGCACATATAAATATTCTGAGCAAGACTTAAATAAAGAAAAATGATTAAAAGTGATTAAAAGTGTCAATGCCATTTATAGGAAAGAAAAAGACATCTTTTGTTTTTTAATAACTTTTATTCATCGTCTCACTATCTTGGAGACCCTCATCAGGGCATGAAAATTTTATTCTGCCATGGCTATTTGTTCAGATTGTATCATCTGTCAGGGGCTTATACATAGCCCTCTCACAGAATACTTTAAATATCAAGTATAATTTGTACTTTCTGTATATAAGTAAAATAGATGTGCCACTAAAAGCTGGTTCTAAATCAAACTTTAAGTGCATGGAACTAACTAGCAATTTTAATGGAAATCAATAGGAAATCGGGTTGTAAAACCAAAGAATCTTTTTTGTAAAAGTCTTCTCAATTGGTTTGGTGAGTTCAGATATTTGTATGACCACTTTTTGAAAATGTGAGACTGTGATATTCTCGTTCTACAATTTACAAGTGCCTGAAAATTGTTGGCTACTATTTTGTAACTTATAACATCTAGCAGCATTTACTTAAAGAGATGAAAAAGTAAAGCAAATAAAATGTGCATATATCACAGAATTTTGGAATTGGAAGTTACTTTAGTGATGATAGACTCCACCTTCCACTTAAGGTAGGAATATTGCCTTTAAGAGTTCCTACTCTTAAAGCACCCCCAGATGCTTAAGTTCATGTTCATAAATGAACTTGCTATTCTCCCCCAAACCAAAGTACCTGCTCCTCTTCCAATTTTTCCTATGTTATATCACCACCCAAGCCTAGAAACCTAGAGGTTCTCTAATTTACATATTTATCACCTCAAACACTGGTGGCTTCCAGAACATTTATATATTTGTGTCTCCTGCTAACTCTCCCTGCTCCTTGAAGGCATAAGCTATGCCATGTTTTTATTCATCAAACAGTGCTTCTTAACACTAGGTTTTCCGGAACTGTTAAATGAGGATCAGGGCCTCCCTGGTGGCATAAGGGGTTAAGCACCGCACTATGAAGCAATCCGCAGACTCTGCAGCACTGAGTTTGATCCCTGGCCAGCCAGGCCAGGGAGCAACCCACATGGCACAGCAGACCTCTCCTGTCTCGCCCGCTGCTCCCCTCAGCAGTGTATTTTGGTCAGTCTGCCTGTTCTGCTCCCCACTCTGTCTCTGGTGAATGCTCTCACACACACCCGGCAGCTCTGGCCTGTACCCCAGCTCTTGTATGCATAAATACATAAATCTTTAAAAAAAAATCAGGATCCCTTAATCCAGTATTTATGTATTCTGTGTACTATGTTAAGCACTATACACACATTATTTCATTAAATTCCATCCAGAAGTCTGTGAGGAGGATACTGCTACTATATCCACCTTATTGTTAGGAAACTGGGGCTTAGCATTATTAAGTGAATCAACAAGAGCATACACACCTAGAGCACTGGGATCAGTCTAATGCCAATGCCCATGCTCTTTGCCCTACACCTCTACTTCAATCATCTCACCACCTTCACTGAAGTTTATCTTGGCTATTTACAAGACTGCTTCTAAGCATCATGTCTCTGATCTATTTTTGTCTCTCTGAGTCCCTCAGAGTTTCTCTGAATTGCCTATACTTCTGAATCTCTTCCAGAATCGTATCTCTTCTAGGCCCATCCTGACCTCACACTACATTTCTATTACTGTCTCTTCCACAACTGCATATGTGCATTCCTCGATGTCTGTTGGAAGCTACCTGGGAAAATTGAGTTAAGGTCTCCTGCCAAAATGCCAGTTGGTGGGAGCACTGCTGAAAGACATGTTTACGTGCTGAAATCCACACAAAAACAGTTTGCATTCTACAGCTCCTCTAAGTCTAAATATAGTGCCATATAAATTCTTCTGCACAGAGAAAAAGCTCTTTGAATTTCCTTGGAACCCTAAAAATTATTCTCAATTAATCATATTAGAACCTCACTGATGGGTCAGGATTGCCTTGGATAAGGTCAAAATAACATTTTAAACTGGGGATTTCTGGACCTCTTAGAATTGAAAAATGTTGTGTCTAAGTCATGCACTCATTAGTCGTCCATAGTGCTTAAAACATTCTCAAGGGCCTCCCCTGGTGGCGCAGCGGTTGAGCACTGGGCTGAGAAGCTGCCCACAGCCTCTGCAGCATCAGTTTGATCCCTGGCGAGGGTCCCACATGGCGCGCAGACCCCTCATGATGCACCCGCTACTCCCCTCAGCAGTGTATTTCGTCGGTCTGCCTGCTCTGCTCCCCGTTCTGACTCTGGTGAATTCTCTCACCCTCCTGCGCTTCTGACTGTACCCAGTGCTTGTATAAATAAATAAACAAACAAATAAATAAATAAATAAATAAATCTTTAAAAAAATAATAAAACATTCTCAAAATACTCTTTGGCAAAAAACTAAGTCAAACAGCATCAGTGCTCAAAAATACCTACTTTAATTGATCTCATCTCTATAAGAGTAACATAAGATGGTTACAGTCTGTTGCTTATGATAAGTAGCTTTTTTTATACTGTTTCTATTCTGTTGTACTTATCATCATATAGTAACTGCTTTAGCCAGTTTTGGGGAACTAAATTATTTTTAAGATCCTTCAAACATCTGTTCTTATCTCTCATTTATGAGGCCACTTTATTCTGGTCACTCCTAATATTTCAGCATCATCTCAACTATCCCCATTTTCCCTACCTCCTGGAATATCAAAACACCTTTCTCCTTAACATTTATTGGGCATTTATTTTGTACAAGGCACTAAATATTGTCTTTTAATGCATTTATATCATTTAATTTTCAAAATAAGCCTCCAAAAAGTTGTACTATTTTACAACAAAATTTTTTAAAGGTAACTTGTCCAGAATAAAACTGAGAATCCAAAAATAAACTCACATTTATTTATGGTCAACTGATTTCTGTCAAGGGTTTCAATAAACTTTTCAATAAATGGGCTTGTAAACTTGATATCCAATTCACAGGGACGGCGTTAGAGTCCTACCTCATATTTACTCAAAATAGATCAACAGCCTAAATGTAAGTGGAAACTATAAAACTCTTGGAAGGAAGCAAAGGTAAATCTTCATGACCTCAATAACAAGGGTTTCTTAGATGACACTTAAAGACACAAGCAACCAAAGTGGGGGCAGGGGTGACAAATAAATGGGGCTTCACAGAAAATTAAAATTTCTGTGCTGCAAATTATACCATCAAAAAAGTGAAAAGGTGATGATTCACAAAATGGGGGGAAATATTTGCAAAACATAGGTCTAGTATCTAGAAATATATAGAACTCTTACAACTCAATAATAAAAATATCAAAAGAATATTTTAAAACAGGTAAAGGATTTCAATAGACATTTCTCCAGAGAAGATATATAAGTGGTCACTAAGCATGTGAAAAGACAGTGTAATTGTCAATTAGGGAAACACAAATAACCACATTGAGATACCACTTCACACCCATTAGGATGACTGTGAGTAGAAAAATAGGAAATGTCAGCAAGAGAAAGTGGAATCTTCATACATTGCTGATAGGAATGTAAAATGGTGCCCTGGTCTTGGGAAATTCTGTGGCAATTCCTCTAAAGGTTAAATGTAGAGTTACCACGTGATCCAGAAGAATTTAAGACATGCTCACTCAGCATGTATCCTTCAAACATGTATACAGATGGTAGTAATATTCATAATAGCCAAATGGTGCAAACATTCCAGATGTTCATCAACTGAAAAATGGATAAACAAATGCAGTCTCTATTCATACAAATATTAAATATTATCCTTCAAGAAAAAGGAATGAAGTACTGATAGAAAGTTACAATATGTATGATCTTTGAAAACATTATGCTAAGTGAAAGAAGCCAGTCACAAAAGGGCATAAATTGTATGATTCTTTTTATACAAAATGACCAGAATGAGCAAACCCATGA